GTGTCTCACCCCGTCCCAGGGCGGCGGGATGCTGCGGCAGCGCTGCGGGCGGCTCCTGGCCCGGCTGGAGCGGGCGCTGCAGCTGCTGGAGCTCGGCGGTAGCGTGGAGGAAGGTGGGTGCGCGCAGCCCCTCGGCCTGGGGCACCCCGGGACCCCCGGCTCTGCGGCCAGCGGAGGCTGGGGACTGGCCCCCCAATCCCAGCTGGCCACCCGCTCGCGTTGTCCCCAGACTACATCCAGATTGCTCAGTGCTTCGAAGCGACGCGCCAGAGATGCTGCCGCCTGGAGCGGGATGGACGGTGGGCCCGCGAGCAGCTGGCTCGTGTGGAGGCCGAGCGGGCAGCGCTGGAGGTGAAGCTGAAGCACGCCCGCAACCAGGTGGAGGTGGAGATGAAGAAGCGGCACCGGGCAGAGGCTGAGCTGGAGAAGCAGGTCGGGGAGCTGGCCGTAGGGGTACCCCGCGTAGGGCTGGCTGTGGGGACCTCAGCCCGCTCACCGCCACCTCGTTTCGCTCGCAGGAGCGCAAACTTCAGCTGGTCTTCGAGTCCCTGATGCGGGAGCCATGGGGCAGCGGGGTGCTGAGCAGGGAGCAGTGCTCTGTCCTCAGGGCCCTGGCTGGCCAGCGCCTTGGGACAGCCCTGGCATCGGGCAGGAGGTGAGCAGGGCTGGCGGTCCTCGCCCCAGCCCCTCGGGCAGCCCTGGGCTTGGCTGTGCCCCTCTCTCCCTCACCTCTGCTGGGCTCGAGGGGCTGGCTGGGCATGGGGGTGCTCGGGCTCTGCAGAGGCATCACCCATGGGCTCGCAGGAGTAGCTGTATGAGTAAGTGCTGGCTGGGGGGGCGGGGGTTGCCCCAGCTGGGCTGACACCCAGCTTGCTCCACAGGTCGTCTGCAGTGGACGAGTCATGCCAGTCCCTCCTGTCCCACTCGGACATCAGCTACGACCGCACTGAGGATGATGTGGTAAGGAGCAACCCGATGCAAGTCCCCAGGTTCAGCTTCTCCCCAGCAGTGACGGGGTAGTTTTGTCCCGCTCCTGCAGTGGGGCAGCCCCTTTGCATGGCCATGGTTAGGGGCAGGCTACCATTGGAGTTGGATGCTGGGGGTGTATCTGGCCCCGTGCAGCCCTGCCAGCCCTCAGCTTCCCTGCTGCCTTTCAGGATGTTGATATGACCGTGGTGCGGACCCTGAAGCGCAAAGCCCAGGAGAGGCAGGTACGAGGGAAATGCTGGGACGTGGCAGCCCGTGGGGGCTAGTGTGGAGGTGGGGTCTGTGCCTCTGCGTGGGTGAGGATCCCCCGGCTCTGCTCTGCACTGTGCCCCTGGGACCCTCTACCCACACAGGTCAGCAGCCTGGGCTGGGGTGCTCGCCCTGGGCCATGCAGGGTTAGCACACCCAGATACTTCTCCATCCCGGCACAGGAGTCTGCAAGGAGCCTGGCAGGGGGTTTAATTTATTGATGCTGGGCTGGGAGTGCTGTCTCTCAGCAAACCTCCCGCGATCAATAGAAACTCCATTACCCTCCACTGTGGCCCAGCCGGGCTCTTCAATAATTCATCCCCACGTGCGGGCATCCCACACCCCGCTCCGCTCACACCTCTGCATTGCAGGCCTAGCCTGGCTTCCCCCAGCCCCTGGGCTGGCTCCAACCCAGGTGGGGGGCCTGGGTCCCCATGATGCCTGGTGTGGGGCAGGCAATGCTGCGGGGCAGAGTGAGACTGAGACCTTCTGTGGGGCTGAGACCACTTGGCTCAGGTGCTCTGGGGCGTGGAGCAGAGTCAGGGAGAGGGTCCCTGCCTACCCTTCACCCCATGTGCTCTGTCCGCAGCGTGTGTCCCTGGCCCCTCAGATCGGCCCCGTGGTGGTGGCGAAGCGGCACCGTTCTTCTGTGGCACTCCACAACACCGTGAGTAGGGACCCCAGCGCGCCCTGGGTGGGGATGGGGTATGTGGGCTGCCCAGTGCCAGATGGCAGTGCCGCAGCCTTCAGTCCTGCAGGCCTGTGGGTGCTGTGGGGTCTGGGGTGCTCAGCTGTCCTCTCTGTGTGCCTGTGCCCTGCAACCTGTATCCCCCTGTACCCATGGTGATGGCATCCCTGGCTGTGCAGGACAGCAGGGCCAGAGAGCAGGCACAGCAGAGCTCACGGGGAGATGCTGAAGCACTGTGCGGCTGTAGCCAGGCATGTTCTCACTGCCCCCCACCTCAGCAGGCGAGTGTCCCCCCCGTGCCCCCTCCTGCCGAGGTTCCAGGTCCTGCCGGCAGCCTCCTGCCTGCTGTTCTGGTGCCGCGACGCCGCTCTCGCCAGGGTCATCGTGTCTCCACGCGTGCAGGTCACAGGAAGGGCTAGGGAGGGGGCTCATGGGTGGTGTGGGACCAGCTTCAGGGTGCTTCCATTACAGGGGAGGGAGTGGATCTGCTGGGGGATGCTTGTCCCTACCATGGGAGTACTGGGGTCCTCAAGACATGCTAGATGCCACTGTCCCAGGGAAGCTGGGATGCTGCAGGGGCTCTCTGGCAGGTGGGAAGCCTCCCCACATCCCAGCTGGGAGCTGGGGTGGTTTGCCTTTCAGGGCCCCCTCCACTGCCTCCTCTCTCTGCAGAGCTGACCACGGTGTGGGGCACCAGTGAGGATCCAGGCTGCCGTGCTCCGGGGCAGGAGAGCCATACTGAGGGCAGCTCCGTGGGGCAGCCAGTGCCAGAAGCCTTCCCCTCGTCTCCACAGGGCCTTCCACCACTCCAGCACCAGTTCACCTCCAAAACGGTGTGTGTCCCAGCCTCTCTCCCTCCTCTTGGCTGCTATGGAGAAAGGAGCTGGGTAGGGGGAGCAGGTCTGGCGACGGGGGCAAAGCTCTCCTCCATCCTCCCCAGCTCTGCACGCACAAGAGATGGATGGAGGTGGTAGGGGCTGGTTTGGGAGGGATGAAGGAGTGGTACTGGGTATCTGCAAGAAGTGGGGGCCCTGATCCTGCTCCCTCTCTCCAGGTGATCCGCCCTGAGCCGTGCGGTGTCTGTGGCTCCCGCATCCGCTTCGGGAAGGCTGCCGTCAAGTGCCGCCGGTGCCAGCTGCTGCTGCACCCCAAGTGCCGGGAGCAGTGCCCCAGCCTCTGCACGCCCCGGCCTCACCACCATGCCTGGCCCCGTGAGGTGAGGGGGGGCATGGCAGTGCTTGGGGGCTGCTCCGTGTCCCTGTGGGGCTGCTGGCCCTGGGATGCTGGGGCTCTGCCTACTCTGGCCACAGGGCTGGGTGGTGGGTACAGAGCGGGAGTCGGCATTGTCCTCCCCAGGGCGTGCTGGCTGACTTCGCCCCCCCCACGCCGCCCCTGGTGCCCGCGCTGGTGGTGCAGTGTGTGACCGAGGTGGAGACGCGAGGCTTGACAGAGGTAGGGGCTGGAGCGGTGGAGGCGGTGATGCCGTGGTCCCCACGGGGCTGAGCCCTTCTCCCTGTGCCCCAGACAGGGCTGTATCGGGTGCCGGGTGCGGAGCAGCTGGTGCGGGAGTGGAAGCGGAGGCTGCTGCGGGCTGGAGGTGCACTGCCTGCCCTCAGCAGCGTGGCTGACATCCACGTGGTGTGTGGGGTGCTCAAGGACTTTCTGCGGGGGCTCAAGGAACCACTGGTCACCTTCAGCCTCCACCCTGCCTTTCTGCAGGCTGCTGGTGAGTGGGGGGGTCCCAAGCTGGGAAGGGAAGGGGCTGCTTCTCCCCTAACACTGCTCCACGGTGCCACTACAGACATCCCAGATGATGCCGCCTGCAGCACAGCCCTGCGCCACGTGGTGAGCAAGCTGCCCCCAGCCAACAGGGACACCCTGGCCTTCCTCATGCTGCATCTGCTCAGGTGAGGGGCTCATCCTGGCAGGGGCTCTCCTGGGCCTGTCCCCATCTCCTGGCTCTCTGCCCCTCATCCAGGCTCCATGCCCCACAGTGGAGAACCTGGCCTGAGGATGAAGGGCCCCTTGGCCAGGCAGTGTGTTCACACTGTCTGTCCCTCCTCGCAGGGTGTCGCGCAGCCCCGACTGCAAGATGGACGTGCTCAACCTGTCCCGTGTGTTTGGTCCGACACTGGTGGGACATAGCTCGGCCAACCCCACGCCACTCGCCATCATGGAGGACACGCCGCGGCAGTCCAAGGTGAGGGCGTCCCTGAGGCGTGGGGTGTACCCTGGGTGCTGCCAGCATCCCCATACTCCATCCCTCCCTGCCCAGGTGGTGGCTCGGCTCCTCTCACTGCCACCTGACTTCTGGAGAGGCTTCGTGGGGACAGAGCAGGAGAACCTGGTGCCAACACCAGCTCCAGGAGGTGAACATGGTGAGGCATGGGACCCCTGGCCCCCTCCCTGCCCTTGCCCTGTGGCTGCTGAAGGGTCCTGGGTGCCTTTGGCTGGGCTGGGGTGCAATAGGTGTTCCCCCTCTGTCCTGCAGAGCCGTTCTTCCACCCCATTGCCTCCCCGGAGCCCAAGCCAGGCCAGCTGAGCCCAGCTGGCACCTGCTGCCTCCCCAGCACCCTGCGGAGCTGTGTGGGCACAGCCACCCGGCCCCCGTGAGTGCTGCTGCAGGTGGGTGGGGGGCCCGAGGGAGCTCGCTTTGCACCCCTGACTCATCTCTCCCCACGCAGGCAGGGGCCAGCCCCGAGGAAGGTGGTGGGCCGGTTCTTCCCTTCTCCCTTGTAGCCTGCGGCAGTGGCTCCCCGGGGGCACAGAGCTGGCACTGGAGGAGGAACAAAGCTTGTGGGACCAGGCAGCTGCCTGTGGGCCGGTGGTGCTGAGCTCCAAGCCCTGCTCTGCTTCCCTGGGGACTGGGGAGCAGGGCTGGCTCTGCCCAGCTGTGGTGGTGGGGACACTGCCCCAGTGCTGTACTTAGGGGCAGGTTTGTATTAAATGTTTGCAGCAAAACGAGCCTGGCTGTGGCTGCTGTCTGTCCTTCCCTGCTGCTGCCAGGTGCCAGCGTTCGGGGTTCACTGGCATGATGGAGCCTTGCTGGGCAGTGGACAAGAGCTGTACTGACAGCAAGGGTTAGCAGTGCTCCCCAAATACCCTGCTTTTGCTGGGTGGGGAGGGCAGGCAGAGCCCCCTCCTGCCCTAACTGAAGCCCTCCTCTCCCTGCCCTGGAGCCCAGGATGCAGGAGGCCCCTCTTTCAGCCCAGATGTTGGCCTCAAGTAATCAGAGCTGCTGCTGCTCAGGGCAGGACAACCTTAAAGCATTTCCAGACTTCCTGGCACCTCAGAAGAGGCCCCTTTAACTCCTTCCTTCCCTCCAGCCCCACCACTGGAGCTGCAAAGCCCAAGCAGGGCTGGGATGAACAGCTCTCTCCCTCCAAGAGGGGGAAGCTGGATGAAGCTGTAATGGAGCAAGGGCTCAGGAAGGGCTTGCCCCCAGATAACTCTGCACAGGGGACAGCCACTACAAGGGGAACTTGGGGAAAAGGGGCATTGCACAACAGGGCTGAGAACTGCCCTAGGGCCACATCCAGCAGCTGAGAAACCTTTGTCTGTACTAAAAGCCAGGCCAGATGTGGCACACAGGAGAAAATTCATGTACAATCCTGAAAGCAAGTACTTTGGCTCAGTTTTCCCCCAGCGCAGGGGTGTTCACCAGCAGGCAAGGAAATTAGCACATCCAAGGCAGAGGCAAAACTGAAGGAGTTTAATGTGCTTAAAGCCAGGGAACAGCTAATCCTCGCCCAGGACCACAGGAGAACTGGTACAGGAAGGCACAGGGCTGGGAGCAAGGATTTACTGCAAATCCATCGAGCTAGGGTGGTACTGGATAGATGGAGAATCCCTAATGCGGTGCCTTGCTTAAGGTGAGAGGCGTGATGGGGCCCTCAGTGGAGTGAGGGCTTTAGCACAGAGCTCCAAAACCAGAGGCGAAGACAGGGAGGTAAGTGGATAAAGGGCAGTGTTGGTTACTGTAGACAAAAGCTGCCAGGATCAGCAGGAAGCTGCTTTCAATAAAAACAGGGGGTTTTGAGACAGAGCAAGGCGGTAGATCTCTGCCACCTGCACAAACGTGCCCTGTGGATGTGGCTGGTGCAAGGGGAGACATGCAGTGAACCCCCCCAAGCTACACTCATGCTGGTGCAGCCTGCTGCCATCACCTTCAGCCCTACCTAGGCAGCCTGCACAGGTCTCAGCCTGACAGGAGCTCTCCTGGCTCATAGAGAGCCCTTGGGGGTGGAGGTGGTGCTGGGGGACAGGGTGCTTTTACAGCTCCTTCCAGCACCAGCAGCCTGCCTGTCCAACCCAGCCCTTGTGCGCCAATGCCCTTAGGACAGCCTGGTGCTGCTCTGTTTTCCCAGCAGCAGGCAGGAGCCCAGCTCAGGCTGTTCCAATCACACTGCTGAAATTGAGATCCTCACAACTGGCTCCTGCAGGGCGTTTTCCCTATCCAAGATGGGCACATTCAAAGCTCCCCAGCCTGTGAGATGGGCCAAAACCTTCCAGGGAGTTGCAGACAGCAGCTTCTGCAGAGCAGGGAGAGCCTGGTGAGGGGTGGCAAGACTGTGCTGGTAGTGCCCTTTGGTGGAGAAACACCCAAAGCTCAGCACCTGAGATGCTGCAGGCAGCAAGTGCTTCCTCAACAGCCTCTGCATAGGCATGCAGCCTGGTGCCAGGGCCACATACTGTCCCTGAAGCCTTCACCCTGCCCCAGGGCTGGTCCCTGGGCTGCAAGAGAAGCAGCACACGAGGCTGATGCTCACCAGCTTTAATGTCTGTCTGGAGGAGGAGTCAGGCACTTGCAGGGCTCCTGGCCTGCACCTACCTCTCTGGGGGTGCTGGGAACCTCCCAGGAGGTGAAGCCCCAGCCCCCAGGCCCTTGTGGTGGAGCACAGCAGGGAGTGGGGGGCTGGCACTGGCCCCCTCCCAACGCAGCAAGCAGCTGACTCACAGGATAATCTGGTTCTTGTAGCTGCGGCTCAGCTCTTTGTGAGGAAGGACGATGGAGTTGAGGATAACGACCTCAGCAGGGATGGTGACACTGCAGCCTGCAGGGAGAGTGCAAGTGGGTTAGTAGGAGGAGAGAGACTCTGCGCCACTGCGCAGGGCCAGGGCATCTGGGTGCGGGTAGGATGTACCCAGGATTGTAATGGATGGCGTGAGGCGCCCGTCCCGGAAGAGAGTCTCACTGTCAATCTTGGCATAGGGATCGTTGGGGTTGGGGTCACTGGGTGTTCCTTCAACCCGGGCCCAGCGCCCGATGGTGCTGTCCCAGCCCACGATAGTATTGAGGACACAGGTATGGTCCTAGGGTGAAGAAGAGGGGGGTGAAGGGTGCTGCTGCCTCCCTGGAAGGGGTGGGGGTTGACACCCACACTCTCAGGCAAACCCTACTTACGTGGAGTGAGGCGCCATGCAGGACAATGGACTCTCGCACTCGCACACCAGCTCCCACCGTCACCCCCTCCCCAATGGAGACGTTGGGGCCCAGCTGTGAGGACAGAGGGAGGTGATGGGGTTGAGGACAATGACACCCTCAGCACCCCCAAGCATCGCCCTGCCACGGGGTCCCCCAGGCCTGCACTCACCACTGCAGTGCTTTCGATGGAGGCCGTTGGGTGGATGTACACATTCCCTGCAACACAAGGCAGCTGCATCAGGGGAGGCAGCTCACAGAAGCACCCACCTCTCAGATCAGGGGAGGTCCTGCGGCAGCCCTCAAGGCAGTGGGGTACATCAGAGGGGTACCTCGGATGACAGGGCCTCCAGCCTTGTTCTGGGCCAGCCTCTCTGGGTGGCTTTTGCTGTACTGGTTCAGGTAAAGGCGACTGGCATAGATGGCAGAGCTGGGGAAGGAAAAGCAAATGATTGTTATTACCTCTCCAGCGCTACCAGGGCAGAGGAAGCTCTGAATTCAGCGCACCCCACCCACCCCCAGGGCCCTGCCTGGGCGCCCTCATCTCCCATCTCTGGTACGGACTGCTTGATGCCCCTGCTGCACCAGCTCTAGCTCCAGACCTTACCCTGCTGATTTGATCTGGCTCCAGAAGCCATCAGTTTTGTAGACATAGAGTTTGCCACTCCCAGCCAGCGCCGTGAAAACGTCCTGCTCTAGCCGGATCACTTCAGCACGCTGCCAGCCGTTGGAGCTCTCCTCTCTGCAAGCGAGAGGCCCGTTAGACACCTGCCTCAGCCAGGGACCCCAAGAGCTACCTCCCCCAAATCTGGGGGCTACAGTGATCCTAGACTCCTACCTAAACATGGATTTCTCCCCAAAGTTGGGGACAGCCCCAGCTGTCAGGCTAGGCCTGCCCAGCCCCACTGAGCCCCAGAGGGAGGGGGGTCTACCAGCTGAAATAAGCTCTGAGCCAGAAGTTGATGGTGCAAGAGCCCTGCCCAGTCCAGATGGGTGTATGAGTGACAGATCCTGGCCCTGTTCCAGAGCCCTGCCCAGATGGATTTTTGCTTGGGTGGTGGCAGAGATGTCAGGTGACAGGCTAACTAGTGCAAAGAGCTGGAGCAGGGAGCAGAGCATTCCCAGGCTTGCTCAGCCCCTTGTCTGGAGCTGAATGAGGATGGGGTGGGAGGAGAGGAAGGGAGAGGGGGAGTCTCAAGCTGGCCAGGAGACGAGCAGAGGAAAGAGCAGCCTTGCAAAGCGGCCTAGAGCAGGGAGGAAAGCATGCATTACCACTAGGAACGATCCAGCCTGGAGAGCAGCCAGTGCACACACAGAGGGAAACTTACCCAAGGTAAGGACAGCTGGTGCAGGACCAGGAAACAAGTAAGTGATGGCAGAGGAAGAGAGAAGATAGAGAAAGAATGGAGGATGAGCGTGCCGCTGCAGCCCTGGGAAGCAGTGGGGTGGGAAGGACGCGGGGCAGAGAGAGGCACTCACAGCACTAGCTCCTGCTGGTTCCTCTGGAAGACCTCACCAATGTGTTGGAATATGGCAGGTGTGAACAGGTAGACACCACAGTTAATGATCTCACTGACAAACGTGCTGGGCTTCTCCACGTAGTGCTGGACCTGGAGGCAAAAGAAAATATGTGAGTCCCGGGATGCAGCCCCTGCACCTGGCATCATGCCTGCTGTGGCATGCTGGGAAAACGCGCCCACACAGGCAGCGCAGCACCCACTGCCCACATTGCGCCTGGCTCCCCAAGGCCCTCCAGTACCTCCTGCGTGTCCGTGTTTGCCACGATACAGCCATAATTCAGCGCCTGCGTCCTGTTGGCCTGCGAAGCAAGGACGTGTTAGCAATGGTGGAGCAGCGGGCATGCGGATGCAGAGCAGATGAAACCCAGAGCTCACACCCAGGGACTCATCCACCGCAGGAGCCGCTGGCTTCTAGACAAGCCCACGGCAGAGCACCGCTGTTCCTCTGCTCCCCAGCACTGCCACTCACTGTGGTACCCAGAATGACAAAGCTGTGCGCGTCCCCGTGCTGCTGCCGGAACTCCAGCATCTCCTGCAAGGGGAACTCTGAGCACACGTCCGCGTTGAGGACAAAGAAGGCCTCAGCACCACCTGACAGGATCTGGTCTCGGAAGTGATAGATGCCACCACCCGTGCCCAGCGCTGCGTACTCCTGGAGATACCTGCGAGCCAAGCAGGGAAAAGTGAGGGCTTAGGGAAGCGGGTGTCTGTTAGCACCAACCAGCAGCAGGGCAGAGGGATGGGCTGGCAGGGGCTGGAGACATTATCCTGCCATGCAGCGGTGGGGCTCACGTGGACGTTGGCACAGGGTAAGGAGGCTGCGGCAGCTTGGAGCTGTGCTGGAGAGGCATCTTTGGAGCAGGAGCCAGCCAGGGCAGGGCCCAGGGCAAGGGAAATTTGGCAAAACTGACACGGGAGGCCAGCTGTGCCCATCTGTGGTGGGACAGTGCCCACCTGCCCAACGCCCGGGTGCTGGCTGGGGGCTGCCACCCCGGGGGAGGTGGGTGAGGGGCCGAGCCAGCCTGCACCACCACGGAGGGGGTGGGAGGTCTCCTGCCCACCTGATGGGGATCTTGAACTCCTGCTGCGCCGACACCAGGAAGCGGCTGAGGGCTTCGTGGGGCTGATAGAAGCCCATCAGCAGGATCTCCTTCATGCCGGGCACCTTGGGGGGGGAGAGGGGGCAGAGTGGGGAGGGCGGCCGTGGGGAGGGCGGCCCTG